GCGACAAACGAGGTTACGAGACACAAGAAAGTTAGCATATTTTACACTGCTACGGGATATACTTCGGGAGCACTCGGGTTGCGAGAACGGTCTGGAAGCTAGTTGATATCAATTTCAACGGGGCAGCTGGAAAAACACAAATTGAAGCGGATAGTTAATTGAATCAGTTAAATGGACATCCGGAGTGCATGGAATGGTAGNGAAACTCTGGAAACCCTGAGCTAATTATAGACGATGCAAACCTTTGGTTAGACAATCCATGCTTCCCAACCGGGACCAAAGGTTCGCTTACAACAGAGGACATGAGATTGTTTTGTTGTGCCTAGAAATGTTTATTTTTTCACAAGCAGACATGCAGCAAAAATTAGAGTTACAATCACAAAAATAAATCATCTCCCCGACTCAGAGCTTCCACAATTCCGCAACCGAACAATCACGATTGCACTACGAACAAAACAAGGAAAAACAAAACAGTATAGTCTACAAGCCCAAAACACCGAAGTATGAGATTCCCTTGCCCAGTACTTTGTCCGAAAAGAGGGATTCTGAGTAAAAATGTCATGTTTTTTTTATAAAATGACAATTATGAGATTACCGAACACACCCAAATGTCCAAAAAGCCGAATAATTTGGAATCCGTAAGGGGGGAAAAGGAATGTGCGTTAGCTGAATGATCGGTTGATTCATGATAAGTGTACGAATGGTTGCGAAAGCTCAGGTGGCAAGCACCATCAGACAAAAGCAGACAACGGAAGGTTCGGGAGAGATGTCACAACATATGAGGTATGGAAAGCAGTAGTTGGGAGGAATGGTTACTAGTACCTGTTACACAAATATGAAGTTCAGGAATAAGATTATCTGAAAAAAGAAGAATTGATAAAAAAAAGGTTCATTTGTGCTTTTTTTGAGCACATACTCTGTTCAAAGTGTCCCCTCACGGAGAGTAAAAGTGAACGAGTATGAAACGAAACATGACAAGTTTGTTACACAATTGAGATATGTGTGGAGACTGGGGGGGGAGGGTGACTGTGCATGGCTGATTATGATCAGGATGGATAAAATACTGTTGACCCCTGAGAGCATCCAACAGACTAGAGAGTGTGCGTGCTTCGATCCCTTTGATAGCAAGTTAGATCGTGTGTCGGAAGCGAATCGGAATCCGCCTTTTCAAAAGATTCCAGCGGAACAGTTGCAAGTCAAAATAAAAAGCTGTTGCGATTCATTCGGTCTGAGACCATTAGCCGCCTCGGCTGTTCTATTTAGGCACTAGCTGGAGTAGAGATCAGTCTCCTGAGTATAATGGACTGAAAATCGCTACAATGGATCATAGTCCCTAAGGAAAGCCGTCGGCATATCCGACAGCCACCTGAACACTAGATACGGAATTATTTCAAATAGGCAGCAGTTTCACAATGGGCAAACAAAGAATCTACAAGAGTAGGTAAAAGCTCGATTATGTGTATCTAACAGCATAGAGATTGCTTTTGAAAACTAATATCAACCCATAGAAACCATACATCAGGCGGAGAGATCAGTAAACCACGGATTAAAATACGAGGTAAACAAGCGCTTGTTCAGTATTTTATAATTATACTAAGAAGAACAACACACGTAACCAATTACAGACAGGATTTACCAGCGAATGGGAAAGTCGTTCGGAGGTTCAAAATTTCAGATCGCTTTGGATGCGCGTTTCGTTGAGTCATTCAAATCGTTTTTCCGGTGTTTAAGGATAGGTCCCTTATCGACCTCAAAGTGGTTTGAAGCATAGAGTCGGGGGGGGGGCTTAAAAATGAATGTTACTACCGCAGATTGCCGACAAAAGTGATCCTGGAACAATGGTAATAATGACACCAAAAGGAAACACGCTTCAGTGGTGGGGGACCATGAAGATGCAAAGATTGGAACATTCAAAAGACTTTCTCATTTCCCTGTCTATAAATTATATCATACGTTCCACATTACTAGCATAATTATAAAACACTAAAAGTTAGCCCTCAGTGTACGGTCCGGGGAACTTTTCAGACAAAACATGGGTTATAAGCTCTCTACCTTATCTGTGCAATTTCACGGTCCACTTTTGAATTGGANNGTCAAGGGTAGCCTTCGACAACAGCAAGGAGAGATGTAGATGAAATACGCTTCGCCCCTGGTTGATTGTATCTGAGATTGACCGTGGTCACGACAAATATTACAGCTCAGGGTTTAATAACAATTCGTACACATGTATAGTTATTTAGTAGTCTAGGATGAGCTCACCACTTCCCGACGGATTAGACCAAAGACTCAAAGCAAAATAATAGATGTATGCAGGGGATTATCATGATGACGATCATGATTCCTTATAAAATGACAATATGGGGACTAATAAGATCCGCCTACTAGTGCCTATTCTAGATGAACCCAAACCACCTGCACCGGAGAGAAACCAGGCAATTGTGCTAGCCAAAGATTGCCAGAGAGCTTCCATCCTCTGTTTTCTTTCCGTGCAGCCCCTTGAAAAATGGTGTGTTCCGCAGCTTCAACCTGAAACGGAGTGCATACTCCATTTGCAATCTGTTGGAAATTCTTAGTGCTACCCAGCATCGATTGGTGGTTTAAGTGCATTTCATCCAACTCAAACCTGCATGTGATGGATGCTTAGGGCACTATAAGTCGAACCATAATTGTAAGACGCTTTTTTGTATGATTTGAAATTACGTATACCGGACCTACCTTTACTGGGTTCACAACCCAAGAATTCATGTTTGGCCCTAAACAACTCCCAGTTTATTGAACTTTGCCAACCGGATCGGAACTTGCTACGTTCCCCCTCCATGAACAATTTGCTTGTACTTTTCCGTAATTCCCTCGTGATTACACAACCGCCCCACATGGCAACTCCCGGTATTAATCATCGCAACCCGTTCTTCGTCCGGCCTATTATCGCGATATATTATCTATACTCCACGTGGAAACCGGTTGGTACTAATTGTCGTGATCCTTTCCTCATCCAACTTGTTACTGTAATCCTTTATCTCCATCCCACACGTAAACCGTGTCGTGGTAACTGTCGTCCTATTCTCGTATTATACTATTGCCACCCCGCATGGAACTTTGTCGTAGTAACTGTCGTAACTCGTTCTGTGCTTAATCCATTATCGTTTTCAACTATCTCGATCCGGCATAGAAACTGCCGCTTGTTATTGTGGTCACCGTTTCATCACCCACCCGCTATGTTTACTCTACCGTCTTCACCGTTCATCCCATTTCATACCCAGTTTTTCCTTGACCCACATGCTACCGCCCGCCCTTGTGTGTTTAACCATCCCAGACACCCTCCTCGTGCTCGTTGTCTATTCTCGCAATTACACCGTGATTACGGTTGCCGTCTGTCGCCCCCCTCCCCCGACTTTGATGTCACTTCGCTTTCCCATCCCTCTGATTGGTCCTCACCGCCCCTTAAATAGCGCTGTCTCTATATCCACATTGCATTCCTTCTCTGATTTCCAAGAGAGTGTTTTCCTGGCACGTTTGCTCTTGTCGTATTGAACCGCTAGTTCTGCCCAGACCGGGTTGCCCCTAATTTGAGGTATTTTGTATTTCCATTGATTTACGATTCATTATGCAATACACCTAGATTTCCCAGCCTTGTGTTCTGACGCGAAATCGGGGTTTCAGTATCTGCGAGTCACTCTATCATCGGACGTCAATCCGGTATAATAATCCATTCCACAAAAACCTCTTCTTACATGTGCGAATACTGCAGCCCCGAGGATGCATTCAGACTCCTTTTTACTTCCGTCCGTATCTTAAGTTCCTATTAAAGTTCTCCATGTCTAGGGTTAACTCAAAACTGTCGAATTTTCTTACTCTTCCTTAATCCACACTGTCGTAGCCATTACAGACAACCTTGCTTTGTTCAAGCACAGACTCGACAGATTGTGTTTTTAGATATTTCCTCCACCTAATTCTTCAATGGTACTTCGCATTATCGGATTAGTCACTTTACAGCATATTGTGCTTAACAGGAAATTTAATCAATTTTTGTTGTTGTGTCGTTCTACTTTGCCTGTGGTTGTTCTAGTATGTAAACCCATGAGAAACTGTAACAAAGTTGACAGTGTATACGCACTAGATGAATACGCATGGGGTACAGACTGATTGTTACAATCCATGAAAGCCGACATTCATTGACTGGTATGTTCATCGACAGGTGAGACAATATTTTTCAAATGCAAAGTTCACTGAAAAAATTGGGCAGGTTGTCTGCAAATAATATTTAAATCACCTTTTGTCTCCCTCGCTCTCTCCCTCTCTCTTTCACTCTGTGGCTGCATTAAGCGTGATCAGAAGAAGCGAGTCGGGAAGACATTTGCCAATCTTCCAGGAACCACATTCGGATAGGCACGGTTGGATTCCAAAACAAATTTCGGACGCGATGCACCGAAAGAGGATTTTCTGTTGAAATTGAACACACGAATGAGTGGAGGATTTCAAGCGATTTGACAAAACGACAAGCGCTTACGACACTTGGAATCTGAACCAGGTCGATTAAATCATGCAGATACATGAGTAATCTTCAGCAAGTTTAGTCCAAGTAAGTCTTATGCACCCGGAGGGTGAATTTTCAGCACAAAGACGCACACTGCATTGTTTGACTAAGTCATTTGGGGAGTGAAATAAGACGAAAGCGGCACCTCTGACTAGCTCACCACACGGCCCAATCAACCAACCAATTGAAAAAGAAATAACGCTGACAATCAGGGAAGTTTTGGAGACAGAGTGAATGGACTTGGCCCTCTCCCTTGGAAAAAATGACTTCTCAAAAAGAGCGTATCACGATGAACGGGGATATGCACACAACCACACACACACACACACACACACACACACACAACGGAATGCAGAACTTATTTATCCACCAGATCGAAAGGCGGCATTCACCGGAATAGTGTAAAGTGCAAGTTCACATCAGTATTATTCGCGTAAACATGAGGCACTCATTCACAGAGTGGAAATCAAACCGGTAAACAGCTTTTTGTTTCACTGAAAAGACACGTCCTGAATATATAGCACACCCTATTGGAATCTGGCTTTGTAATCGTGTTTCGAGTCTGTGTGTTCTGCGGTGCACTATGATCACGTGCAAGAGTGATCAAAGAGTTCACTTCGTCGAACAAAATAATCAAATTTACGATCAACTAAAATGCCTGGTGAGGTCAGATGGTTACCAACATCGTGTGACATACCGGGTTGATGGAAGGAATCTTCGGGGCACGTTTTGGGAATCCCAGGCAGTCGATTTGAATCGATCGACCAGGAAGGATAACAAGGCCGCACGGCTATCATCATCACCCCCAAGGACCCAGTCAGTCGGATTTTGCGGATCTCGCGACCAGCATTGAGCACACAACCATCGAGGTGGATAGACCATCTTGGGGGCACTCGGATCCTCAGTCGGGGAACCCATCAGATTTCTATTCACACGATTGTGTACTGCGTTCAACCACAACACCTCGCTTTCACCGTCCGTCGGAGCTGTGGGAAGTTCTCTGATGACCGATTCATTGTATTGGAATTCAACAGGGGCGGTTCTTGACGGCAATACCGACTCACCGCGTCGTACAATATTGGCTGAATTCTCCGCAAAATGGAAGGCACATATCTGACAGGAGAAGAATCTAGGAATGAAACGATTCATTGTGTGTGCCACAATATCACCGGGTAGATCTGAAATCAAAAGACAGAAAGTGTGAGCATTGTTGCATTGTGCAGGAAGCTCAGGTAAAATGACAAACAGATGATTTGAAAGTGACCACAAATCAGATCGATAACTTTTGAGGCAAAGTAACCACAGAAGACTGTTCCGAGACTATTCTAACCTGTTTTAACTGTAACGAATATCTTACGGAAATAATAACTATTGCAAGAAGTATCAAAACTTGTCCTAAACCCCTAACTGGGCAGCCATCCATTAGCAGCCGAACGAAGAAATGGGTGGAGCAAAGGGACTTTTCCATGCTGGAGTACAGAGGATGTCCGCCTATCAAAATTTGGAATAATTATGCCTTAGTCCGAAATCAGTGTACCAAGTTTGTGCGAGAGAACAAAGTGATGTACCAAGAAACCCTGGTTCGAAAATGGTTTTCCAATCAGAAACTGGTTCATAAGTATAACAACTCTAAGAGGAAGGTGAAATGCGGAATACCAGTATTGAGATCGTCTGGACATGTTTTACCTACTACGCTAGAAGTAGCAGAGTTCCTCAAAACCCAGTTCGATCAGGTGTTAACGGCAAAGACACAAAGCATTAGAGATTCTAAGCAAACTACCCTGTATATCGTATCCGTCACGGTGAAATGATTGGAGCAAACATACTCACTTTGCCTAAGGCGCAGACAACATGCAAACTCGGATTGTGATCTCACTGGCCAATGGTATTATTATTATAATTATTATTCAACACGTCATCAACTGCAAAGAACTGGCAAATGTGCCACAACATATGAACAGAAGGAAATTTGAAGAATGTGTTCATGGGTTGTGTGGGCATGTTATTTTCCGGTTGCCCTGGTCGAGGAAGGGGGATGGCCTCGGAGTCATACCAGGAGCCTTTGGTTAGAACGCCAGACCTGTAAGACAAAAGGACGGAGCTCAGAGTCTGAAGTCCATTGGGA